GTAGTTTATTATTCTAATTTTCTTAAAACGCTTCGTATTGAGCGGAGCGCTTGTTCACACGTCAAAGACCGGGCGTCCGAGCCAACGCTCCCGATTCGTAGCTCGCGTCAATCGAGCGCTCTGATTGGTCGGAGTTTTTGGTTAATAACTCCTTAACCACGCCTCGGACAAATTTTTCGCTAAGGAAAATGTTGTTTAAGATTACGTCATGAACCTCCCATTTCAATATCTTACGCTAGTTTTGGGACATCCTGTATTTGCGTAATCGTTTTGCTAAAAATCGCTGATTGCCACAGATTATTAGGCGGATGGCCGAACACTTACACCTTCACAAAGGCGATAGCCGAGAGCGTGGTCGTAAAAGAAGCCGAGGATCTGCCTACAGGAATATTTCGTCCCGCAATCGGTTAGTAATTTACAATCTATGCTAATCGCTGTTTATATTTTGCGTAACACTCGCGCGTTAACTCGCTGATTTATTCAAATACGGCGAGTATCCGCATTTTTGTTTCATCGATCGTTTTCAATAAAACCGATTGAAATACGTCGCGTATAAATGTTGTGATAAACAGAGAAATGATTAAGCAACGCGCGTGATTCGCAGTCATATCGACGTATAAAGAACCGATACGAGGATGGATCGACAATTTGTATGGGCCAACTGGTGTCGCGGCTGGCGCGGGTGCCGGGCTTTTGCGGTCGATCCACTGCGACGGAGCCGTACAGGCCAACGTTGTTCCAGGGGATTTAACAGTAAATGCGTTGATAGCCTGTGCATGGGACGTTGCGAATCGTCGAAAGTAAGACGAGACTCTTCTCATATTCTTTCATATCTTCTTTTATACCTTTACGTTCACGCATACCTTTACGTTCCTCGTGCAGGTCCATAAGCAAGGACGGGAACAACTTCCAAATTCCAATTTACAATTACGTTTCGGTAGACAATCCGATTACGTACGATCAGCTGAAGGATTTGTCCGAACGATACGGGCTAGAGTTTCCCAGTGGCAAAGCCATATGGTACTACAGCTTTCGAAATAATAAATACAAGATCGTACATTTGTTCTACGTCTATTTCTTGCACCTGTTGCCAGCCCTGTTGATGGATACCGCCATGGTGTGCATGGGAAAACAACCACGGTAAGTCCCCATGTTAACTACTTCTGCCATTGCTTCATTTAGGATTTTCTATTGTTCTTTATTGGATTATTTATTGTTATTCATTATTGTTTATTGGATTATTTATTAATCGAAGTAACAAAAATGAATCTTATGTTTATAAGGAACTGAACCCCTGGCACATCGTGTTTATAACACGAAGCTATTATGCCAATCAGTTGTATATTAATACTATTTATAATNTTCTAAGGTACATAAACTTTTCGGATTGACTGTATAGCCAATGCATCCTTAATTAAACCAGTTAGCTGTGATTATCTATTAAGTAATAAGTAATAATAATTAAGCTTAAATTGCAGATTTAGTGGAAACTAAAATGCAATTCGTGAATTCTGATAGGCGAAATAAAACGAATAAATAAGAATAAAAATAATTACTATGAAAAAGACTTTATAAAGAATTGATGATGGCTAACTGGTTAGAAAACCGAAATTCTTCTCGATATTTCATATCTTCTTAGGATCGAAACGTCCACAGTCTAATCGACTAGATTAGAGACTATTAAGAAAACAAGAAAACAGTTTGAGTTCTCTCTTCCTTCTCCTCCTTCTTCCTCCTTCTTCCCTTCCTTCTTTCCTTTCTTTTCCATTCCTGTAAACATTCTTATATTACATAATACATAGGAGAATGTTGTTTAAGCGCGTAAACCGTGCCCACGTTTCAATCGTGTTTTATAGGTGTACAAAATTTGTATTTCACGCCTGTATTTGTAATAAAGAATAACTTTTATATTAAATATTCGCTTATCAATTACGAATTTACCCTC